CTGACCTCCTAAAGGCCTTCCACAATGTTTCCGTGCCAACATCCACCTAACGGGTATGAACTAGTCTGTTACTGCGTCCAGGCCACCCACCCCTAGGACTCTGAGAATCTTTCAGTCCACACGTCAGCACCCCAGTTGTTTTTTGGTAGGTTGAATAACCGCCATTACACACTGATAGGAACACCTTGCTCTACAGTACCATACCTCACCCACCTAGCACATGCCCTGATCCAGCCAGGAGGTCTTTAAGCTTGAGGTTCCGGGTTGAGAAAGAAATCAGAGTCCTTATTTGCCCACGTAAAGGTTCAAATGGCATCTACTGAGAGGTTACTTTAAACAAGGGATACCTGCATTTTGAATTAATTAAGCATCTCCTCTTCCCAGGAGCTACCAAGCATTGGAGCACTTGTAGAATTTAGTTCTTCATCAAAGGCAGCTGAGGCATGCTCCTGAAAGGGAAGAACGCGGCTCACTGACCCACGTCCTCTCACGAGCCCTTCTTCCACTTGACACACTAAAGCGCCACCAGCAAAAGCTACTCACAACGACAAGAGGAACACCACCGTCCCCTGCAGGTTAACCAGGACGGCCAGGGTCCTCCAGGAGCGGATGAAGTATCCTAGCAGTGCGTACTGGGCGATGCCAACTGCGAAAAACAGGCCTCCAATCGATCCTACGTCAGGAGAGAGAGAGCAGTTACTGGGGGCAGTGCCATCGCTCGCACCACTTCCAACCCAGGTCACGAGCCCCTCCCTGCCGCGTGCTGTCAGCCCTACCCTGGAGCAAGTGCGGGTGCGGAAAACCAAAGACCACACCCCCTGCCATCTAGTCCATGCCGACTCCTCGTGACGTCAGAGGGCGGGGCAGAACTGCCCTTGTGAGTTTCCCAGACCGTCACTCTTTCTGGGAGTGAAAACACGACGTAAACACCACGGTCCGGTGCTAAAACCTGAAGCCAGTCCAGCACATTAGTGAACATGGATGCAGGAACCCGGCCTGGACACAGGACGCTTTCCAGGCTCGCTCAGATGCCGCCACAGAGCACCTGTCCCCAGATCCTGACCGTGAACTGCCACGTGCTCCCCAGTGCTCCCTGCTGCTGTTCCTACACACGTGTCTGACCGTTTCACATGTATGTGTTTCTGATGTCTTCCCAGACAGCACCTATGTGCTGTGAAGCGTGGGTTTTTAGCAGCACGCTGGTGTGAGAAATCAACTCAACGTTGGGTCTGGAACTTAAAAAAAAAAAAAAGAAAAGAAAAAAATCTTTATTAAAAAAAAAATCTGCC